TTTCCTTCCAGGGAAAGCAAAATGAGGGCTGAGCAATAAAATCCAATACAATAGCAGTCCCAGAAGAAAGGCATAAGACCTCAGAAATCATTCATCTTTCTCTTACCTCCTCTATCTTTGCTTAAAGCCCTTCATCTATGTAGCACATCTTGGGCTGTAGTTTTGGTTACCTGGTGCAGAGCAGATGGTCAGCATAAATTTTCAGTTCTTGCTTAGTTTCTGACTCCTATGGGAAGTGTGAGAATTTTATGTCCATACTTCCCATGCCAAAAAGTAGCATGAGCTATAGTGTGATGAGACTGGGGTCACTATGGCTTTGCATGGCCTTGCAAAGGTCACATACAGCTCCTTTGGTCTTTCTTTTATCACCCTAGTCTCCAAAGTGAGGTCAGCTGAATTTACAGGCTGCAGTGAGGCTATGAAGATAATATCAGGTAGAACATTAAAGATTATACAATCAGGTTGTTCCTATGGTGGCATTAGCAGATAGAATAACTGCTCCCCATTAGCAGATACAGTATATGTTTTCCAAAGCACAAATTTGCTGTGGAATATTTCCAACCAGAAATATTCCAGGAATAGGGGATGACACTGAATATTAGACATATGTTAGGTTCTTTAAAAGTCTGCAAAAATCCTTGAGATAGGATCAAAATCCTACATTGAACACTCAACAAAAGAGGAAACTGAGGCACAGACAAGATGTAACTAGAGTTACATCCTGGGAATCTGATTTGAGAAACTGACCTCTGAAACACTTTCTATCATGGTTGAGAAATATGGTTTCTTTTTTATAAACCTGAATCAAACATGTTGACAATGAGACATGTAAGACAATTGTGCTTGCCAAAGTAACCTTCACAAAATAAAATAAGTCTGGGACTATCTTTATTCCTAGTTTATAAAGAAACAAAAGAATAGATAAGTAATTAAGTTACTCAGATATAACAAAGTTAGGATTCAGACAATATCTAGAACTTTGCTTAAACTTCCAAAACAGGGAATTGTTATATGGAAATTATAGGCCAGTAGTTCTCAATTGAAAATATTTCACCTCTCTCATGCCATGCAGCCCTTGATAGAATCTAGAGAGAGGTGGCTATTTCAAATGAGGGATCTGATGAGTAAGGTTAGGGATTCTGCTAAACACATTACAGGGCACAAAAAAGCTCCCCCAACAAATCTGTAAAGCCCCAAATGCAGATTGTGTCAAGGTTGAGAAACCCATAGAATGACACATAACATTGCAACTCAAGGGGGCATTATGACTACAGGGATTAAAAGGAACTTGTGAGGTGCTCATGGAAGCTGCTCCTATTCGCTTGGGGAACATATTTAAAATTTTCTTGATACTCACAGACCTGATTATTACTGATCCTCTCAAAGACCCTCTTTTCTCACTTTATAAAGGGACAAGCATTCTTACTTGACAATACTATCCCGTTCAACAAGGCAATGTGTGTGTATGGTACATGGTGAGTGCTCAGTGAACAGGCTGAATTGCTTTTCTGATGAGGGCTCTCAGTTGGAGGCAATACAAGGCATGGATATGCTGTGCCAGCACCAAGACTTACAAGCAGGTAACTTTCTGGTCTTTGGAGAGCACTGTAATGAGCAAACTCAAATACATGGTGGCAATATCTCCCAGCTAGTTTCTCCTATAAGGCAGACCCTTCTGCAGGAGGGGAGGGGCAGGATTTACTACTCTTTATTACAGGAACAGGAAATAGTTCTGGTGTGTGAATGGTGTTAACTGGAGTTTGTTTGGTTTTGTTTCCCTCCCTTGACCCCTGCTCCCAAGGTTTCCTCTGCTTCATCTCAGCAGAAAACATTTAAAAGTAGGGCGGAAGATGCCAATACCTACACATTTTATGACATGCTGAACTTGTTAGGTCAATTGTAAAATTAGAAAAGGAAATAAGATTGGAGGAGTTTTTACTGCAAATTAATATTAATTCCTTTGTTCATGAGCTCAAAATGTGTGTGTAGCAGTATGCACACACACTCACACATACACTGGTGGGTGTGTGCCCCTCCTCTCCTTGGTTTGCTCTAGCTGAAAACCTGTACAAGTTCCATGCATTCTCTAATTATTAAAGACGTGAATATAATACACCAGCCTCTAGGATTTTTTCACGAGGCAAAACCAAATTATCTGAGTCGTGATTGCTATTTCTTCTCTCAGCAGGAGATCCAAACCTGATTGGTAGATTTTTTTAAAGTACAGCTCTAAAGACATAGGCACCTAGGTCTTTTTAGGGAGATGTTATATTTTTAATCAAGTAAACGTTTTAATTACTAACATGCCTCCTTCCACCTCCCACCCTCCCACAAAACCTGCTCATGAATTTCTCACGAGTCTCCTGTGAAACATGGTACAGCAGCTCGCTCCTTTGGAGTCCTAATTATACAGGCTTAAGAACTCTCAATTGATGTTTCCATGGATAAATATGTTGGTATTATTTTTTTATTTTTGTGGAGTCACGAGTTTCTGCATTGTTTCTGCATTTGAGAAAACTATTTCAGGGCAGGTCTGCTCAACCTGGGCAGTTCGAAGTCTGTAGGAAGGCAAAGTTGGGAAGGAAACTCATTCTTCCTTTCTGTCTCTGCCTTATTCCACCCTCTTCTCATTCCTTCACTTAGCTGTACGTGCCGGTAACCATTTTTGAATTCACATGGGTTTTATTGGCAAAGGCAGTAGAACTCCTGAAATAGTATTTTGGAACCACGGGGAAAAGACTAAACTGGGAGAACAACCACAGGTGGATTCTTGGCCTGTTGTAACAACTATGAGACTTGAAGTTTGTCACATGACTTTCTAGAACGCAGATCTTGTTTTTGTGAAATGAATGAGCAGGGGTTATTGGTGCCATTGTAAATCCCCAGTGCCTCTACGGATTAGGCTAGTGGGAAAAATAAACCAACGGGCTGCCCTTTATAAAGGAGTAAACTTTACCTCCAATTGGTTCTACTTCCAACACTACATAAAACTGTGGGGCCTATGGATACATGGTTATTCCATTTGTTTCCCCAAGAGCCTAAAATCCTTAAGTTAAGAATACTAACAAAAATCTCTTTATTTTCCAGATATTAAAAAGAAGTACGGGTTGGGCCAGATCATAAAGGTTAGAATCTCTTGGTAAATTTTCTCTCTGACCATGCCTAAAAGAAGACCTATCTAACATATATATTTAAATATAACACACACACATATTTGCATGCAAGTGCATGTTTAAATACACACACAGAGAGCCTCAACGTAAAAGAGCCAAAGTAATTCTGAGAAAGGTCAGCAGAGTTAGAGGCATCATGTTCCTTGGTTCCAGTGAATCACAATCTATACTAATCAAAACAGAATTGTGTCAGCATAAAGACAATATACAGGCAAATGGGACAGAAAGGAAACTCAGATATAAAATCTACATGAATATGGTTAATTAATTTTTGACTTAATTAACCTGGAGAGAGGACAGGCTCAAATAAGTGATGTTAGTAGAACTATATAACCACAGTTAGAGAATAAAACTGGACCTCTATTTTATGCTGTATTTACAATACAGTATATTATATCAACTCAGAATATATAAAGTGTAATATAAAGTGTAAGGTTTCTGCCCCAAAGAAAAATCCTAGAAAACACAGGCAGTGACCTCTTTGACAATGATCTCTTTGATGACTTTTTGGAATTGGCACAGAAAACAAAGGAAACAAAAGCAAAAATAAACAAGTGGTATTACATCAAATTCAAAGGAAACCATCAAGAAAATGAAAGGTAATGTATCAAGTACAACAAAGAAATCAGATTTTTGTTCAACATTTTGGATTAAATTTATCAGAACTAATATGCAAAGCAATATATTGACTATCTACAATCAACAAATCAGGCAAATGCAGGCAGGCTTGCTTCCAGAATTTACAGTGTAGCCTAACCACCTGTTGAAAAAAGAGCACTGGTGTCAACATATATGTTCACACAACATTAATTATATTATCTCAACTGGTTTATAATTCATAGATTATCACAAAATGCTCCATTTTGCTATTCAGACAAGATAGCAAAATATGTTTATGTTGGCATGGCTATTTAAGCAATATCCTATTTTTCAGTGTATTTTTACAGAGCCTATGCTTTTAGCTTCAGTTACTTTTCTAACAGCAGTTCCCCAAAATTACTACAATATGGACCACTTGTTTCCAAACAAACAAATAAGAAAATATTTAAAAATACCAAAATGACTTAAAAAATAAAAAGCTCACTGAAAAAGAGATCAGTTTCTATCCCAACATTTCCTATGAAATATATTCTTCCAATAGATTGTAGTAAAAAGAACTCAAAATAAAGAACGATCTCATTTTCAGTTGAAGAAAATTAACCTTATTAAAAATTTTCAGATTATTTTTTTCTTTTCAGATTATCCATGTAAAAATTCTCCCAAATGCTGAAACCACTGTTAATCCATCCAGTTAACCATACATTCCTTAACAAAGCACTTATTTAGTACAATATGAACAAACGATATCAGTAGTACATCAGAATATTACTCAAATGTATAAATTGATTGTTTTTATTCCAAAACCCTTTTGGAGGTCCTAAAAGGCTTTGAGTTTTAAAGAACACCATGGGGCCGAGTGATAGTACAGTGGGTAGGGTGCTTCCCTTGCACCCAGACAACCAGGGTTTGATTCTCGGCATCCTCATATGGTCCTCTGGGTACTGACAGGAGTAATTCTAGAGTCAGGAGTAACCCCTGAGTATCACTAGATGTGACTCAAAACACAAAAATAAATAAATAAACAAATAAAAAACGGATATTTAATAAATAAATAAAAAATAAATGAAAGCCTACATCCAGAAAATGGAGATCATGCAGAATTTTTCCACTTGGATTCTTGCCTAAAAGGCAAATAAGCACTGCAGATTCTGACTACTGAGGAAGATCATGCTAACACCCCCTTGGAGGAGGTCTTCCTACATGAGGGAAGGAGGCAGGGAACATTACCTTTGGAATGCACATTGTAGGCTCGGACAAGCGAGGGTAGGTGTAGGAGTTGTATGAGTGCCCTTGAGGATGGGTTTTAAATGCACTTGCTCCGAAGGGCATCATGGGTTCCTGGAGCCCTGAACCTGACCTGGATCTCTGTCGCATGGTGGGCTGAGGGCTTGTCTGATTCAAGTAGGATGACTTTGGCCTCCTGTCATAATCATCCAAGGGTCCCCATTCACTTTCGCTGTATGCCAGACTCTCCTTGGAGTACCGCCTGGTCCCTGCAGTTCTAGAAGGTGTGAACTGAAATGAATAATCAAGAGGAGAGCTGCTGGAGGCTCTCTGGTATCCCCACTTGAGGTCGCCGTATTCACTGGATTTGCTCAGTGAGTCCAAGTGCGTGTGGTAATCCCCAGGAAATCTGGCCAGCTCAGACTTCAAAGGCTTCATTTCAGAATAGTAGGCCTCCCCGTGCTTCATTTTCATCATGTGCCCGTTTTGTTTGGCTCCATGGCTGCCTTTATAATATGGGTCCAAATCGTCTCCATAGAGACTCTTTTCTCTGTACTTGTCGGTGGTGTAGTCAGCGGTGGTGTCGGATTCGCTGGAATACTGGGAGAAGGTGATGAAGCCATTTTCCTCCCTTCGGCCTGGGCCAAGGCCAGAGGCACCCTGGTCTGGGGTGGGTGGGCTCTCTTTCCTTAGGGAGTTGGATCGGGTCACAGAGATGTTGTCAAAATCCTCTAGAAGGCCATTGATGGACGTTTCCTTGCAGGGTTTGTTGCCTCTCACGATTGTCTGGGGGATAATAAAGGAAATAATCTTTAAAAGAAAACATTTACAAGTTTTTCAACTAATGGAAAACATCCCACTCCCATGCCACCCAAATTCCAGTGGAGAGGAAAATAGATCCCAGGAACAGGTAATAAAATTAATAAAGAAAAATATTGATTGACTTCAGTAGTAAAAGAAGTAAGATATTAAATAATAATCTCAGAACATTTTTCCTCACCTACTCAAAAGAACAAAAAAATCCATTAAGAAAACTGTATAAGCCAACTTTGTTTTAATTTACCAGTTTATGGAAAAATCCCCCTTTCCAGTATTATACTTTAATAAGTTGATGATTATGTCTATAATTGTAAAGTTATAAAAAGGTATATCTGCTATTTTTTTGCATTCATTATTCAGATCAGTTAAAAAACAATAGTAAGCATTGCCACTGGAGTGTTACTATTACAGAGCTGGAAATGGGTTTCTATTTCATCCCTGGATGGGATGAAATAATATAATCATTTGAAAATTATTTGAGTTATTAGATTTTGATGTGGAAGAAACTTTCTGAATTTTTAATAGGGAACAGCATAAAGTTACATTATGCAATTAACTTTGTGATCAAGTGTGATATTCTTATTAAATACACAGCTGCCATGGTGTTACAGTCACACTTTAGCGTATCATTATTTCTGACCTGATGTGCTGAGGAGGCTGTGCCTCAATCTTAGTGAAAAACTTGTGAAGCCCTGATGTTTCCTTTAGTGAACCCAAAGAACACCAGAATAGCAGGAACAAAAAGGAATCGCAAGTCACTTACAAAAACAGTTAGCTGTGCCTTGACAGTGATAAGATTTGTGGAAATATATGATGGGGGTGGTTAAAAGAACAAAGAATAAAGTATTATGACTTCAGACTTCCAGGATTTTAAGAGAAAAAGATCTTTGTATAAGAAACAAGGAGCTCCAAAACCACCTTAGCATGATAGAAGAGAGAAAAGAGATCAAAGTAGTTGCTATTTTCCCAATCAGTCACTTTTGCTTGAAGTCTTGAAACCAGGAGAGAGTAGAGAGGTTAGGGCATATGCTTAGGATCCACCTGACCTGGGTTTAATCCCTGGGACCACAGGATCTTTTGGTCATCCCTGGTTGCAGTCCTGGATGCCACAGCACCACTGGAGTGTTCTGAATAATCCCTGCCACCAGAAGGCCTCAGCAGCCTCAGCCAAACCGGTGGGCTGGGAATCACTGTTGGGACCCCCAGAACTTCCAAGAATCTACTGTGAGGTACCCATGATGATATATAAACTAAACTAAACTTTACTTTTGAAGTTATTGTAGAATAATCTCAATAATGAGATACAGAGAGTTCTCATATCCCTCAGTTTCCCAAGTTGTTGATATCTCACATTAACCAGAAACTAGAATATGAAGATTCAATTAGTCTTCCCTTAGTGTCCCAGGGTACCTTACTGTATTGTTTTTGCTTTGTTTTGGGGTCACACTCGCTGTGGTCAGGGCTTACTCTTGGCTCTGCACTCAGGGATCATTCCTGGTTACCATATGGGGTGATCAGGGGACCAAACGGGGTTTCAGGTATTGAACCTGGTTCAGCTGTCTGCAAGAAAAGCACCTAGCCATAACCATTACTCCAGCTCCATACCTCATTGTATTATATTTTACTTTTTTGCCATGCAGCCTTAGTTTCTTCTGGTCTATGACAGTTTCCTAGACATTCCTTGTTTTTGATAAAACTGACAGTTAAGGAATACTAGCCAAGTATGCTGCAGAATGTGGGTTGGACAAGCACTTGCCTTGCACATGACTAACTTAAATTACACCTTATAACTTTATAAACATGGCATTTATAATGATCCCCCAAACCCACGAGGAGTTATTGCTGGGTGCAGAGTCAGGAATTAGCCCTGAGCATCACTGGGTGTGGCCCCACAAACAAACAAAATATGTTGTAGAGTTTCCCTTACTTGGGAATATCTGATACCTCTTAGGGTTTCACTGGAGTTATTTTCTTGGGAGAGGAAGATCACAGAGTGAGGTGTTATGCCATTATATCCAGGTATGGATCTAGGGTTCCAAATCAATGTGGCTTATCACTGATGATGTTCATCTTGAGTTCACCCAGCCAGGGTAAAGTATGCCAGTTTCCACACCATAAAGTTACATTTTACTTCCTTCCTCCTTTCCAGATCACATTTGAGAGAAGCACAGCCCATACCCAAGGGATGAGGGAGTCAATCCCTTTCTCCCTCAGAGAGAGGATACAAGTAAAGAATTTCGAAGTAGAAAGATAGCACAGCAGGTAGGGCGTTTACCTTGCATGCTGCCGAACCGAGTTTGATTCCCAGAATCCCATATGGTCCCCTGAGCACAGCCAGGAGTAATTCCTGAGTGCATAGCCAAGAGTAACCCCTGTGCATTTGCCGGATGTGACCCAAGAAGCTAAATAAATAAATAAATAAATAAATGAAAAAGAAAAAGAATTTGGAAGTCTTCTGTAGAGGACACTCGCCTATTCTGATTTGTTTATTCAGTCGTTTACTTGCAGAACTATGAATGTAATCATGGATATTTGTTTTCTACTTTGGGTTACAATTCTATGTTTATTCTCCTACAATACTATAGTATTAGCTTTGCTGTTCATATTGTTCCAGCTTTGATGATGGAGCGAGTTCTCTCAGATTGGCACTGGTATCCCTTTGTCTTGCCCCCATTCTTTCATTTTATCAAGATGTCCTAGGTTCATCTTCTATTTGCTCTGCTCTTGCACTATATTTTGTCATTTTCCCAAAGAACCCTGGGTCCTTTGGTTGACAAATGATACTTAAACTAAGATCTGGGTGCCAAGTGTGCTTATTGTTATTGAGGTGTCATTGCTGCCAGAACTTCTCAGCAAACAAAGTTAGAAAATGCATGAGTTTCAATACCCACACCCACAGAATTTTCCAGCACAAAAACCAGGCAGTTTAAATTAAGTAAACAAAAAAATGAGAGGACTAAAGACTATAACCAAATAACCTCCAGCTACACTCATATTAACTAACTTCAATCAAGTGAGTGCAGGGGAAAAACCTAACCTAAGTAACTGAAAATTTGTTCCGGAACACTGTATGCCTGAAAATTAGCTATGAAAAACTCTGTAAATTATGGTAGCACTGTAGCACTGCCCTCCCCTTGTTCATCGATTTTCTCAAGCAGGCACCAGTAATGTATCAATTGTGAGACTTGATACTGTTTTTGGCATATTGAGTACCCCACGGGGATATTGCCTGGCTCTACCATGCAGGCGGGATACTCTTAGTAGCTTGTCGAGCTCTCCGAGAGGGACCGAGGAATCAAACTTGGGTCAGCCACGTGCAAGACAAACACCCTATCCACTGTGCTATCAACTTTGCCAACCAGAATGTAGCATTTATTTGCAGTTCTTTTGACTTTAATATTATAGTTTCCATTCAAAGCAGTCTTCCTTTACGTATTTAATCTTTTTATTAAGGCACTATCATTTACCATGGGTGGATGGTGGTAAATAATGGTGCCTTAATAAAAAGATTAAATACATAAAGGAAGACTGCTTTGAATGGAACCTATAATATTAAAGTCAAAAGAACTGCAAATAAATGCTACACTCTGGTTGGCAAAGTTATTTCCTACTATATTGTGGATTAATAATTTTAAATTGGTGTACATGTATTTGAGACTGAATAACAAAACGACTGATGCTGAGTTTTCACTGTTGGGGATAATAAATAAGGGGGAAATCTAGAATAAATTATGATTCTAGATTTGATTCAGGTATATCAGTATGAATTTATGCATAGCATAATATAGCTATAGACAGATAGGTATCATTAACAGTGTGTGCACTTGGGAAACTATCAAGTGGGGCCAGAATAATAGTTCAGCAGGAAGGGCATTTACCTTTTACATAGCTGACCCAAATATGATGCCCGACATCCCACATGGTCCCCGGGCACTGCCAGGTGTAATTCCTGAGTGAAGAGTCAGGAGTAAACCCTGCTCCTTGCAGGGGTTAGCTTCAAAACAGGAAAAAATTAAAATAAAAATAACAAAAAATAAAAAGTATCATGTATTCATGGTTAGAGAGCTATCCAAATTAGTTCTGTCATCCCCTGGAAATTTTCTGGAAAACAAAAAGTATGAAATAGACTCCAGAGAAAATAGCTACAGTTAAATGTGTGTGTGGTGGCAGGGAGGGAATTCAGAGTTATCAGTTTATCACTGACTGAGTGTTTGAGGTCCAGAGACCATCAGCATGTGTTACAGTGTTATCATCTCTGGAACTATGAGGTTAATTATAATTATAGAAGAAAAGTCTGCTCATCTCATTTTAACTTAGTTTTTCAGTCACAATTATCTGGAATTTATATCCAGAAAACATGTTAGTTCACCTACAGAAAATAGACAAATGACCCTGTTGGGGGCTACACATCTTAGAAATTTAGTTCCAGGACATATACTTCCAAGAAAACAAAGATATTACTGGGGTAATAACTTTCAGATCAGATCATTACAGAAAAGTTCCTTGAAACTGCAGAATTCTTTAAATTTCTTTATTTTCCCTCTTAAACTCTTCAAATTTAATTAATTAATTCAGTGAAAATTATTCACTATATAATTTTGGAGAACATTGGGAAAAAGAATTTAGATGCCACAAAAGGCATCGATCTATCAATCAAATAATATCTAGTTACAATAGGTATCTATTATATCTCCATATATATCTAAAATATCTATACTATATTAACAAGTGATAGCATAAACATTTGTACATTATATTTGAAAGAATTTTTAATCATTAATTGTGCTATAGCTGTCTTAGATTTAGAAAATAAAGTACCATTATTTCACAATAATTTTTGTCCTCAAAGTATATCCATCCATATTCCCCTAGAGATGAGAGAGTTGCTGCTTTAGCATAAAAGTTAACCTGTAACCTCAGAAATAATATAAAGTTTCTATGTACTGCTCATTGCATATGCAAAGTAC